GAGAGAGAGAGAGAGAGAGAGAGAGAGAGAGAGAGAGAGAGAGAGATGGTGGGGGGCGGCAGCACACACCTTTAATTCCAGCACTTAAGAGGCTATTGTGTTTTAGCCAGCCTGGTCCAGGGCTACACTACACAGACAAACCCTGTCTCAAAAACAGAAAGAATGGAAGAATAAAAGTCTGGGAAGATCCCTTTTTGCAGAGCCGCAGTGTTATCCATGTCCAGCCAGCTTTCTAACCAATAGGGAGTCATTCTTTCATCCTTCTCACAGATTTCCACCAACCATGCCTCAAAGCCCTTCTAGATGGTTCCAGGTCTCATCTACGTGAAATTGTCCAGCCCAACCACACTAGAAGCTGGTGTGTGTACGTGCTTTCCCCATGAACTTCAGCATGGGAGTTCTTAGCTCTTACAGTACCATCTGGCACTGGCATGACTGTTCCCGGTGGATGCCTCACATGGAGCGAGCCTATAGGAGTTTAGAGCTTGAGCTGCAAGAGGAAGATAGGCCCCAGGTATTCCCTGATCCTGTCCCCTCTCTCCACTTCATCAGGCACCTAACAGCAGAAATACTCAAGTAGGGCCCTCAGCCCGCTGCTCAAGTTCAGAGCAGTGCTACCCTCACCATAAATGCTCTGCCCTGAGTTTGCCCTTCAACTTTGCCCAGTTCCTTCTCTTGGAACCAGAGCCTAGTAAGCCAGAAGTTTCAGGGCACTTAAGCTAGGAAGTCTGTAGCTTTGTGGACAGGGTCAGAGCTCTGAAAAGGCAACTCCTTATGTATCAGCCCAAGGTGATGCTGCTACTTAATGAAAAACGGATCAACCAGACTTGGAAGTTTTTGAGAGGATCCTTACAGGAAATGTCAATCTTGGTTCCACCTATATTGCCCCCCCCACACCCCACCCCTTCCAACATAGGGCTTGGGATTTTCACTAGGCAGTCTAGCCTGAAACTCCTATTTGAATAGCTGTTCTGTCTCTTGTTCCCATGGACATTCTGTTCCTACTTTTCCTATTACCTATTTTCACACCTTGTTTAATCTTTAGGAATTTCTCTTTAGTTCTCTGAATTTAGTGACCCATGTGCCCTATCCTGACTTATTTGTGGAGACTCTGAGTATGAATGCAGCCTCATTGACTTTTTGACTTTCTAGGACATTTCCTTTAAAGGGTTGTAGTGGCTGCAGCAGGCCCTGGTAAACCCAGGAAAACAGCTCTCCACCACCTCAGGAGGCTCTTGTGACCTTACAGCTGCAGCTCCAACAGTTCTCCAACTTGAGCGAAGTTCAGGATTAAGCACTGTTGCTACAACTACTCCAGTTGTTGCACAAGGCTAGGCTGCTCTGTCTTTAGAGGTGCTGATGCACAATTTCCTTCAAACTGTCTAACTCTTCACTGTACACAGGACTTTATTCTACACTCCCAACCAATGTTACCCCAACCTTACACTTCTTCAGGTTTACTTTTTATAAAGCTATTCATTTCAGAAAAACAATTGTTCTCAAGTTGTGGCTCTGTTCACAGCCAGCAAGCTCCAGGATGACCACCTTCCATTAGTTCCCTTTTTTACCATAGGTGTCCCAAAGGTCACCCCATGAAGCTTCTAGTTTTGCTTTGTTGAAAGAACTGAAGGAAGCTGGCAAGAAAGACCTGGGATGTCTGATGTCCCATGCTGGACTTTCCCTTGGTTTGCTCATCTTATGAGTAACCCATTCTCTAATTCCCAGGAGGATCCTCTAGGAAGGACTCAACCCAGCTCATGGGGCACCTATGTGCTGGGACCTCTCCTTGATTCAGAGCACCCACAACCCTGCTCCTGATTCATCATAACTTCTCAGTCACCCCTCCCAGGATGACATGACCTTGGACAGGAGTTGATAGGTCTTGAACCTGTGGCTTAGCCACAGCTCAAACCTCCTTGGGAGCTCCTGCTCAGCAAGGCACTCCAGGATAGCAGCTTCTGGCTGGAATCACCATACCAGACAGTGGGGGAACAGCATTTGACTGCTTGAAGGGATGGTTGGACAGGAGCTACTTAGGCTGTCTTTATTTCATAAACTTATCCTGGCCACATGAGGAAGAATTTCACCCAGTAGGCCTAGTAGGCATGGCTGCTGCCACCTAGCAACCCACACCTCACACTCATCTGGAGATGCAAATCCAGCACTTAACTGACCTGGATCCTGTAGGGACCCAGTCCACCTACACTGGCTACAGCAACACCTTAATAGCCTGGTGAAAGCTGTATCCTAAGGACGCTGCCACACAACCTGAGTATGGGTGTACTGAAATGTACACTCAGCAAGATTTGTCCTCTAAGCATTTCTATATCAGCTTTCTCCTTTGGAGATAAGAATGAGAATGGGTTAGTGAGGGAAATCAGACATCTCCAGCAGGTCTACTGAACCATCTCCTGAGATTATATCAAAACCTGGTGGAAAGTTAAGTGTGATGCCCCATACCTATAATTCCCACTGGTACAGGGCAGGAGGCAAAGAGTTCCAGGTTAACATGGGTTACAAAAAAAATCCTGTCTCACCCACCCAACTCCAAACAAAACTAGGGCCATGATGGCTTCTGGGATGTGGGCTAGATCTTTCTCCAAGTGAGATTAGCCCTGACCATTCTCACCTCCATGGGCAAGCTGGACAAAGCAGCTGCCAGAGATAGACCCCCATTTCAAGCAGGATGCCCTCAAATTCCACTTTGGAATGGGCTAACAGGCAAGCCTAGGAGTGGCCTCACTAGTTTGGGAGAGTTCCAGATCTGGGATGGGGTGGGAGGGGGAGGGGGGAAGGAATATAGAGCTGGATGGCCTGTATGCCTTATGTTTGTCTCTGGATACCTATACTTTTCCAGACAGAGAAGTTTGTCTTAAAGCAAATAAAAGAATTAACAAACAACCAGCTTAGCCCCAGCATCAGTGGCACAGAGCCAGCAGGGAGCACTCGGAATTCCAACACCAGGGGATGAACAGTTCCAAGACTGCAAAGTTGGTGCTTATGTGATGTCCCTCTGCCGGGGTGGCCGGTGAACATTCCGCACGACACACTTCACCATCCATTCGATGCCCTCTCGGACTCCTTTGCTGTGGAGACAGTATGTGTGAAGCAGGGCTAGCCTTGGCCCTGAGAACTCTGCAGAGTGAGACCTCAACTCACCCTGTGAGAGCAGAGCAGGCCTGGGTCAGACAGTCTCGACGGCCAATCTTGCAGGTACAGTCACTGAATGCAGTCTTGATGTCAGGAATGGAGAGGCAGGTCTGACAGGGGAGGTGAGACTCTGAGGAACACTTCCACCACCTAGTTCCATCTAGCTTGCTTGTTCACTTGGACTTTCAGGAAGGCCAGTCCCTTACCCAAAAAAATAAGTAGGGGTGAGCCTGCTCAGAGCTCCAGTGTCCCCTCAAAACCAGTGGTGAGGCTGCTGAACCTGGTCCAAGTCTACTGCTGATGGATTTGCCCAGGGCTTTGGATAGTCTACAGACAGCTTTCAAGAGAACATTCCCTACCACCCCCCAAGAACAGCCTCCCGAGCATCTACCAGCAGAACACTGTGAACTAAGTCAGGAGCTCAAGTACCAAGTGAGGAAGGGTCCATGGCCCTGGGGTTGAGAAGCCTTGGTAATGTTCAATGGCTTCTCTGCTCCCCTTTTCATCTAAAGGAAGGCCCTGTGTTCCTCAGCCAAGTACTAAAGACCTCTACTACTAGTTTTGGGACACAGATGGGATGGTGGGGGAAGTCCTCAGAAAAGCAGCTTCCTTGGCCCTCCAGATACTGGCTGCTACCATGTCCTCTAGCTGTTTCTGTACAGAACCCTTTTTGTAAGATGATAGGGACTTTGTGTGGCTAGAAGTCCAAAGAGTACAAGTAGCACCTCATCTCAAGAGGATGCCCATTGTCTTCCCAGTTCTACCCCACTTTGGAAACTAAAGATTTGGTTTTCATTATGTACGTACGTACGAATGTACGTATGTATGTGTGTCAGGGTATGTACACATGAGTACAGGTGTCTACTAAGGCTAGGTGTCAGAAGCCCTGGAGCTGCAGTCCCAGATGGCTGTGAATCTCCTGACAAGGGTTATGGGAATCAAACTCCGGTTTTCTGGAAGGGCAGTGCATGCTCTCAACCACTGAGCCATCCTGAGGCCCCCCACACCCACTTCTTTGAGCTCAGAGCTTTCCCCTGGGTATTGCTCTAGGCCCCATAGTCCCAGAACCCTTGGGGGCATTCACAGACATTCACAGAGCCCCTGGTCCTCCCTTAGGAAAGAAGATGGCATCTGCATTCTGACTATCTTCTGGTAGGAACATGCCTGTTCTAATGGTGATAGCTCTGGGCGACATCCTGAGAAGAACTGAAGTTGGCAAGGTAGTATGAAGGGAGAGTCCCAAGAAGGGCTGAGAGAGGCAACTGGGGTGGATGGTATAGGCACTAGGTTTTGGAATCTGGAGGGATACAATGGTTGCAATGGTTAGAGGCCCTACAGCAGCTTTGTGGGGCTCACCTCCACATCCTGCTTGTTGGCCAACACCAGGATGGGGACACCGTCCAGTGCTTCACTCGAAACCACCTTCTCTGAGGAAAGCAGGAGATGTGGAGCCTTGCACCATGTCTTGTTCATGACTGCAGGCTCTGCCCAGACCCAAAGGTGTGTACAGATAACTCCCTTCCCCCCTCCCCCCAACATACTAGACACCCCAAGCAACATGAATGAGGCTTTCATGGCACTGGCATCCAGGTGTAAGCCCAGCCTCCCTCAAGGCAAGTTCCAGACCAGTGGAAGGATCCAAATTAAATCGGTACACCACCCCCTGGCAAGCCCTTCCCCACATAATTCCCTAGATGTAGGTCTTCCCATCTTCTCTCCCCCCTAGAGTGGCCATGCTATACTCACCAAATGCCTCTTTGGACTCTGACAGTCTCTCCTCATCAGTGGAGTCAATGACATAGATGACGCCATGACACTCTGCATAGTACTAAAAGGAAGAGGAGGAAGCTGGGGCTAGAGGTACTCATAGTTGGGCCAGCTAGATAGCGAGACCCTGTGTCACAACCACCAGAAGATGCCCATAAGAGGAAGAGACAGGCAGTGGAGCTTTGCTACCCCAAGGCCACAATGAAGAAATGGGCACAACTCAGTGGAAAGACGTGCTAGGAAGCTTTCTGGGGCTGTTTGGTGGTAAAGATCCATAGCACCTTTGAGGAAGGCTTGATGACTCTAGCAGGGTGATCACCCTCCTCTTCAGGCTCAGGGACTGCTCCTGAGAACTCACCTGTTGCCTTAGCTAGATAGTACTAAGAAAAGGGTAAGAGACAGGGCTAGAGGTTGAGAAGCCAAAAGAGGTTCATGGCTGAGGTCAGCACTGCCTATGAAGCTACCCTGCCTGAAAAAAAAAAGACAGGATTGAACTCAGGTTTCTGCAGGCTGGATGTAGCCAGACCTGAGCTTTCAACAATAAGGGTAAAGGAATGGACAGCACTGCTGAGGCAAAACAGATGCGGCAAGATAAGCATAGGAGATGGAGATCCACAGAGTAATAGAGACATTGTATGAGCTCCCATCCCAATCAGAAAAATAATGCCTGCCAATAAAGGGCAATAGCTAACAGTACATCGGGACCATGCTGGGTCTCCTGTCTCAGTAAGGAGTCAACACTGACTGGTAAAATAATGTGCTGCAGACAGGGTAGGATGTATACCACTGAGGTTGTGTGACAAGTAAGAAAGAACACTCTTCCCCACCTGCACTTCCCATAGAGTACTAGAGGACAGTCCCAGGTCCCTTCTGCAAGACTTTGCAGCCAGACTCATCTAAGACAGCTCCAGTCTTGCAATGGGCCTGGCACAGAAGCTGCCAGCTCTGGGGATAAGGCAGTGGGTTAGCCTATTCCTAGAGGCCTGAGAGCTGGCAGGTCCTACTGTAGAGGTATTTATGGTAATATTGGATGATACAAGATTTGCAGCAAGTCCAGTGAGACAGCAGGCAACACTAGCAGCTCTGAAGGTTGTTAGAAGTGTCTTATATGATTAAGCACAAGGCTCAGGAACCAAGATGGTGGTGGCGCACTTCTCAATGGGGAAGTCACACCTGTAGCTATGAGTGTGTGTTGCAGGGAGGTACAAGGAGACCTGCATAATCAGCATATGGAAACATTCTCAGCTGGACATGTTGGGACAGACCAGAGGCAGATACCCCACCTGGTTCTGCTTGTGTGAGAAGTTGTGATCTAAGCATGGCATGTGCACAGATCTACAGACAACAGCAATACTGCTTGGTTAGCAGAGGCAGATGTAAGCAGCAGACATGGTAACCTGGTTTCTATCTCAAGGTTCCTCAAAGCACCCACTCTTGAGAGCAACAGTGACACTGTGCTAGACTGAGGAAAGCAGTGGGCAGAGTGGCAGACCACAAACATATCAGTATAGGTTCCATTCACCAAGGCCAATGGAGCCCCTACTAGGCATTTCACTTTCTAGGGCAGCATGGCTAAGCCCTATGAGGTGTCATCTCTTAAGGAAATCAGAAGAAACTTGAATACAAACATGTCTCCTTAGCAACAACATAGACTCCCTGGGCACATACCAGGCCACAGTCTTATGTCAAGCAGAGGAAACTCAAGTCACAGCAAACAGGACAACACTGGTCCACACTACCCATGTGGTAGCTCTACTGGAGGACACCAGATCCAGATACTAACTCTCACAATGAGATCTTTCTGAGGTTCTACATTCTGGCCAGGGCACGGTTCCGGGAACCAAGGCCCCTCTTCCTGATCCTCCCAGTAATCTAGAAGCAACTCTGCTACACATCTTCACAACCTTGAGTACTGTAGGGATTGGGGGCTAAGTGAGAGTAGTTCCTGCCCACCAAAGCAATAAACCCAGTAGAGACAATGAGTCACCTTTGGACTCCTTTTACTCAAAGATAACTGTCCCTGATTGGCAGGATGATTCAGAGGGTACCAGGAAGTCACATCATTGCCATGATGACTACAACTCTTCAACCAGTTGACAAGGCCGCTGTCTACCCTCCGCTTAGAAGGGGCTACTCCTCAATGTGGGGTACATATCCAAGCAGTGCAGATAGCCACTCTAGCTGTTCAAACCAACATCCCAAAGAGCAGTGACTCGTGACTCAAAAGGTAACAGGCTTGGGATCCTAGCCACCACTGCTAAGCTCCCTGTATGCACCCTCTTGGTGATGACCCAATACACATACTCTGCATACCTGACCTGTGACAAGACAGTCATTAATTGGTGTGATTCCCCACCTGTGTCTGATGTTTGGAGATGCCAAACGTACAGTACTGCCCCATGAATAGGCCCGTCCTTTGTCCAACCTGGCAGTCACAGAGCCTTTCTGGATACAGGATAGATGCTACCCTCTTGCTAAGTTATAGCAGGAAGAAACATCTTAGGGAAGCCCAGGAAAGAATTTAGCCCTCAGTTGTAATACATGCCTTCTGGGAAGCACCACTGTAGCTGAAGCACCTGTACCACAGCACTGCGCTGCATCAAATGACCATGCCAAACCACAGAATAGGACACTGAGCAGAACAAGTCAGGGCTTGCTGGACCTAGTAGTACCTGCACAGGCCAGGTGGAAGAAACTCCAGTGTAGTAATGTATACAGAGAGAAGTCTCAGAAATGTTTAAAACCAATGGCCAAAGAAAAGACAGGTGATACGTGCCTGAGAACATCCTTCTCCGATGTGGAAAAGGCCACCTGGAAGAACTATGATAAGCTAGAATGAGGTAGACAGGCTCACCAGGAAACAAAGGTCTTGTGCACTCCCTATGTGTGATCTCTGCCATTCCTGCCTGCCTGTAAGAGGATAGGTTATAGTCCTCTTAGAACTCCCCAGTCAGTGCTGTGCACTGACTACCCTGGTGAACAATGCTGCTTTCTTTGGGGCTGAAACTGGTCTCATTGGAAAAAGGTTAGGTACTCCCTGTGGGAACTTCTCTGGTGCCTCAAGTGTGTGGTGATTCTAGCCCTGGGTTTTGCCAGAGTGAGACAGAAAGCAACCTGGAACCCTGGGGTAAGATTGAAGAGAAAACCTTTAGACAGGGCCAATGAGATGATTCAGCAGGTAAGGATGCTTGCTGTTTAAGCCCGACAATCTGAGTTTGATCTCTGGAGCCCATGCAAAGGTGAGAAAATAGATTCTAGAAAGCTGTCCTCTTACTCCCACCTGCATGCTGTGACATGCCTCCCTCCCCCAATAAAAAGTAATTAAAAAAAGAAAAAAACAGAGAAAAATCTATCTTCAGGGTAAATGTAGACAAATGGAACTCTCATTGAAGAAGAGGTTAAGAGGAGCTATCTAGAGAAATACAGTACAGAGCAGATAGTGTGTCTCACCTTGTCCCACAAAGACTGTAGTTCTTCTTGTCCACCTAAGTCCCAGAACATGAGACGAGCCTTCCCCACGTCCACAGTGCCAACTGGGGAGAGGATAGAATGAGCTAGCTCCTGACCTTACTCTTTACAAAGTCCCAGCTCTTCCTGGAATGAGGAAAACCATTCTGGTACCAATCCCAGCAGGCATGCACAGAGAGGGATCTGGCCCCTGGCCAGCTGGGCTACGTACGGGCTTGCATCTCTAAGGGACCCAAGCTCATATCCCCCTTACTGTTTAGGCCCACGGTAGTGGTGATTTTGGATAGACTCATCCCTTTGTAGTTCTTGTTAAACCGTGTTTTTGATTGTTCCAAGAAGGTCTGAGGAAAGAAAGAAAGGTGGTTAGGTAGTGGCAGCTAAAGCAGTTTCCTGGTGTCTTTTCTAAATATCCCTCCACATCCATATGCTTTGGGCAAATTCAGGCTTTCACACCCACATGGTTTGGGCAACTTCAGGCCTTCACACCCATACACACATGCACACGAACCTCTGCCTGTTGAATGCTCTTCGGGAGGCTGGTGGCAACTAACCTGTAGTCTTGGGTAGGGATTAGATTTGCAAAGAACATAAGGCAGGGAAAGGGAATTGGTGAGAGAACAGGCACCTACTGTCTTCCCGGCATTGTCCAGGCCTAGGATCAGGATGCAGTATTCATCCTTCTGGAACATGTACTTGTACAGCCCCGAAAGCAGCGTGTACATCCTGCCCTGGCACCCTGAGAAATGTCAAGGTGTGTACCAGGGCTATCGGCCTCCTGTCCGCTTCATCAGTGGTCCGTCGGTCCTGCTAGTTTTCAAATGTGGAGCCTCGTGGCTCGCGACTCCTTGCCCCCCTCTCCCCAGCCCCCGATTCCGGACCCTGCCTCCACCACCGACCACCCGCTAAACCTGGGCCACTACTCCCACTGCGGGTCATCTTTGTGAATACACCATCAGTCCTGAAAAACCCATGGCGGCCTACCCTGCTCCGCCCTCCTAAGGCTTCTTTTCCGGACCCTCAACTCAGCACTGGGAACTTCGACTGTCGTAGCTACCAGAGAGTCAGCTTCTGAGTGGGCCGCCTTTGGATCCCCCCCCGCTGCCGGGCCCACGGAGCCAAAGAACCAGCTGCCGAAGCCGCTTCCCTGCCCCCTACCCCAGGATTCTGGAACCCCGGCCCCTCAGTCCGGCGGAGACCCACCTGCACCTGCTCAGATCTCGGAGCCGCAGACGCCGTCGTCGCGTCGCAAACCCCACCGACCTCGCGTTGACCCCGCGCGGTGCCTGTCGGGACACCGACCGGCCGACTGAGTACGAGAGGGCGGAGCCGCATCCCGACGGCCCCCGCGCGCCCCATCCCGGAGGCTCCCGAACGCGGGCACTTCCGGCAGCATCAGCTCTCGGGCGGAAGTGCCCGCGGCGGGCGGAAGGCTAGCGCGAGGGCTCTGCTGGCGAGGCCGGAAGCCCTTGTAGGCTGCGAGCACCGGCGGGAGGCGGGGCTGCGGACCGCAGAGGACGCGGTGGGATACTTTGCGGTTCCCTTGGCAGCGCCGAGGTCCTCCTCAGCCTCTCCAGCGGCCGGGGAGGGGGCGGCGTTGTCCTGAGCTCTGCCGACTGCTCTTCCCTCAGGTCTCGTCTGCTTTAGCGGTTCCGAAACTAGCCTGCGCGGTGTAGCGATGGACGAGGACAACCTGGAGACGGCCCTGCAGACCTACCGGGCCCAGCTCGGGCAGGTAGAGCTGGCTCTTGGTGCTGGCCTGGACGCTTCCGAGCTTGCGGACCTGCGCCAGCTGCAGGGCGATCTGAAGGAACTGATAGAGCTCACCGAGGCCAGCCTGTTGTCGGTCAGGAAGAGCAAGCTGCTGGCTACAGTGGACCTGGAGCACCAGGCAGAGGAGGACGCTGAGTACTTGGCTTTCCAGAAGGCTGTGGCGGAGGAAGGGGAGGCACCCGTCGCCCCCGTGGATGACTCGGAGACTGTCCCTGGGAGCGTGGTGCGGCCTGGACCCACCTCCCCTGCACAGGAGGAAGACGAGGAGGATCCAGATCAGGAGGAGCTGAGCGGTGCTAAAGTGAATGCCCCTTACCACAGCGCTTGGGGCACGCTAGAGTATCACAACGCAATGGTTGTGGGCACTGAAGAGGCAGAGGATGGTTCGGCATGCGTTCGCGTACTCTACCTGTACCCTACCCACAAGTCCCTGAAGCCCTGCCCGTTCTTCCTGGAGGGAAAATGCCGCTTCAAGGAGAACTGCAGGTAAAGCCCTCTGCTACTAGCAATAAGGGTCACTCGAGCAGGACCACTGCTGTGGCCTGCCGCCTTCACAACTTGTTCTCCACCCCGCAGAATTGATAAAAGAGAAGGGGGAGCTTCAGGTGGCTGACAGGCTTTAACAGGAACATTCCCTGTTAAGTAAACACATAAGTAAACACATTATATTCATTCTCTCTCTCTCTCTCTCTCTCTCTCTCTCTCTCTCTCTTCCTCCCCCCCTCCCTCCCTCTTTTTTTGGATACAGAGTTTCACTGTGTAGCCCTGTCTGTCCTGGAGCTCGCTCTGTAGATCAGTCTGGCCTTGAACTCAGAGATCTACCTGCTCTGCCTCCCAGGTGCTTGGGACTAAAGGCGTGTGTCACCACTTCTAGCTAAGATTTATTTTTGTGTGTATTTGTGTGGGTATGTGAACATGAGTACAGGTGCCAGAAGGTGTTGCATGTTCTACAGCTGGAGTTCCAGGTGCTTATGAGCCACCCAACATAGATCCTGGAAAACAAACTCAGGTCCTCTGCAAGAGCAGTATGCTCTCAACCACCAAGCCATTTCTCTAGCTCTATATACTTACTTTTCTTTTTAATTGTGTGTATGTGTGTGTGTTTGTGAATACATGTGTACTTGAGTACAGGTGCATGAGGAGGCTAAAAGAAGGTGTTGGATCTCCTGAAGCAGGAGCTTCAGGACTACTGGTAGTGAACTACTTGGGTCTTCCTCAAAAACATTACACATACTCTTAACCACTGAGCCATCTCTCCAACCTCCAGAGACCACCTATATTCCTTGGTTTGTGGTTCTCTTACATCACTTTAAGCTCTTACTTCCATGGTTACATCTGTACTCTGCACATTTTATTTCTTTACTTTTTCTTTAACATGGGATCTCATGTAGCTTTAAGCTGGCCTTGAAATCCATATATAGCCAAGGATGACTTTAAATTCTTCATCTTTCTGCTTCTACCTCCCTAGGGCCAGGATTACAAGCATGTGCTACCTAGCTTGGCTCTGCACATCTTTTTTAGATCCTAGTAGACTTGACATGTTCCTTGCTCACTCTCTTTCCTTCTCATGCCTATAGGTGCATAAATGATCAGTGTGCTCAGTGGGTTTTCTCCAAGAATACACATGTTGCTATAACCAGTGGCTGCTTTATCTGCCATAGTCTTTTTGTGGGAAGCCCTGTGATGAGAGATTTAATACCTCTAAGTACTTTCTCTGACTGACATATGCTCACTTCTCTGTGCACGAACCTATGGGTAGGCCCTGAACTCATCCCATTTTATATAATTTTTGTTTTATTTTATTTTGTATGTATATATGCATGTGCCATGGTGCTCATGTGTAGGTCAAAAGACAGCTTTTGAGTGTAGGCTCCTTCAACCATGTGGGCCCTGGGGATTGAATTCAGGTCATCAAGCTTGGCAGAAGGTACCTTTACTTGTCAAACCATTTGTCAGTCCCCACCCCACTTTATAGATGGAGAGACAGACACCAAAGCACTAAGTGATCGGTACAATGTTGCTGGCCGTGAGACCACTTCATCACAAGGAGCTGCTTGTGGTATCAATTTTAGGGCAGAACTAAAAGACAATAAAACATCTAACACCATCTTTACAACCATCCAGGATGAATGAGTTGTTTTCTTGAATTTGCTTTAGATTTTTTTTGTTTTGTTTTGTTTTGTTTTTGTTTTTCGAGACAGGGTTTCTCTATGTAGCTTTGGAGCCTATCCTGGCACTTGCTCTAGAGACCAGGCTGACCTCGAGCTCACAGAGATCCCCCTGCCTCTGCCTCCTGAGTGCTGGGATTAAAGGCGTGCACCACCAATGCCCAGCTTGCTTTAGATTCTTAAAAATAAATTTAACTAACTCCACCTGCATTACCATAACTTTGGTGTATGTCTTTCCAGTGTATAATCTTCCCTGTAGACACTTGTATTTGGGCAACAGCATCTCAATAGTTAGTTGATTATTTTCCCACATTTGCTAATACTAATCTCCATCTTCCTCCTCTCTTCTACAAAACAAGTGAGAAGTGTCCCTAGCAAGTGGGAATAAAATGCAGACGTTGGACCTACCCTGAAGTGGCACAGGTGGACTTATTTACTATGTGTTGTAAAATAAATTCAGATATAGGAACTATAGTATAGAGAACTGTTATAAAGTGAACTGTAGCTGTCAAACTCAGATCACAGCTGTTATTTGCCAGCCACCCCAGATTCCCTAACAAGCATCAACTCAGGTAGATTTTTTTTTTTTTTTTGCCTTTTATTTAAGCCCCAAACAATCTCTCTCCAACAGACAAAACAACTTTTTTTGTGTGTGGGGGGGTAGGGGGTGGGAGTTGTTGGTGTTTGGCTTTTTGTTGTTTTGTTTTTGTTTTTTGAGCCAGAGTTTCTCTGTAGCCCTGATGTCCAGGAACTCACTTTGTAGACCTGGCCTCAAACTCAGAGATCATTTCTGCCTCCCAATGCTGGGATTCAAAACTTTTTATAACAAGTGCTTCTTGTGTTTCTGTAGCTTATGTCTCAAGTGTCACCGTGATGTAGAAATCATAGTTCAATACTGTCCATTTTCTAACCCTGATTGTATCTGAATCTAACCATGTACACACTTCTCTAGGTCTTTCCTGCCCTTACTCCGTCCTTATTGAAGAATCAGCCCCCTTGACTCATCAGTCAGCATATATGCTAAAGGACCACATTTGTTGCTGTGGTTCCAGTCTGTTAGCAACCAGATCACATCACTTACTCAAACTGTGTTCTAACCCCATCAGGAAGACTAGAAGCAAGTCATTTATCAGGAGGCATGTTGTTTTTAGCTAGCCCTCTATAATTCTATTTTATCAACAAAGACTTAGGAGTCAGATGCTGGGGTGGAAACCTGCTAGCTAAGAGAGGCAGAGAAAGCACCCAGCTACTTCCTCCTCTGTTGTCATCCCAGAAAGAGAGCTTTCCCCTCCTCATTCTCAAAAAACCCCTCCAACTGGATGGCCCTGCCTTCTACTTCCCGTGCATCCCTCTCTCCCACCTCCTTTGTGTTTATTAAGCATATCTTTTAAAGTGCAATGAAATCTTTCCATAACTGCTTGTCCTGTAGGATTGTGTGCTATACCTGTAATGTGCTGGAGCATTGTCAGTCTTAATTTGTATTTTCATAATGGCCATGACTTCTAATAAATGTGTAATTACAGAATCAGCCTTTTCCTAACTTAAAGCAGTTGCCCATTGAAATCCCAGCACTCGGGAGGCAGAGGCAGGCAGATCTCTGAGTTTGAGACCAGCCTGATCTACAAGAGCTAGTTCCAGGACAGCCTCCAAAGCCACAGAGAAACCCTGTCTCTAAAAAACAAACAAACAAACAAAAAAACAAAAAAAAAAAAGAAGAAAGAAAGAAAGAAAGAAATCCTGAATATGTATCTATGGTATGGTGCACATATTTTAATTTTTGCAAACTCTGCAAAATGAAACACATACATTTGCCAAATTTCATTTCTTTAGGTACCTTTTGGCTTATTTCCTGCAGATAATAGAGTTTGGTTACACAAAGAACAAATAGGACATTTCCTTATAATTTCCTTGGCTTGTTGCCAAGTGATAGAAAAATCTTTCTTCAAAACTTTACTGTTAACATGGTGTCTATTAAGAAATTCTGAGTGTTCTAGCACTTTTCCTATTAATAGCTAATTAATTTCACCATTACCTTGTGCTAGAGGGCATAGTAGACCTGCATGGGATTTAATATATAAGGGATGATTTCCATTTCTGGTCACTTGTTGTAGATGAATAAATATAATTCTGAATCATTGAGAATAAGTTCATCAGTTCCAATTTGTAACATCTCTTTCTTTGTACTCTGAGTCAGTAAGTATATTAAAAAATTCAGGAAAATCTAATAATACCATAAGAATGGGTGTAACTCTGATTTTTGAAATAAAGCATAATGGCTTTGAGTCACTTTATTTATTTTTCCTGACTTATAATCTGCCTTTTCTAATTTATTTGCATCAGTATAGAATGTAGGGGCTCCAGAACTTGGTTGTCCCTTTTACTACACGAGGGAGAATCCAATTATTTCTTTTTATAAATGGAATTCTCTTGCATTTGGGATATTTATTGTCAATCTCTCCCCCAAAATTACTGCAAACTCTTTGCCAGTGTTCATTTCTGCCCCCAAATGAGGCAATTTCAACATTAGTGAAAGGTACCACAATTTCTGTCTATTCCTGCTAATTGATAAAATCTCATTTTTCTTTCAGAATCAATTAAGAATTCTATTCTATAAAGGTCTTTATTTTTTTTTTTTTACTCTGTGTGCTAAAAATATGCATTCTAAGATACTATCTTCTCTCTGCATAAGAATTCCTGTGGGAGGATGAGTAGAAGGTAAAAATAACTAAAATGCAATCAAGCTTTGGATCTAGCTGATCCACATGTGCATCCTGTAATTGCTTTTCTTCCAGAGCCAATTCTCTCTTAGCCTCAGCTGAAAATTTTCTTGGACTATTCAAGTTCTGATCATCTTGTAAGGTTTGAAATAAATTGCGCTTGAGCAATTAATGTAATTGTGGGCCGTAACCTGTTAATATCTCCCAGCAATTTACAAAAATCATTAAGAGTTTGTAATTGATCTCTCCTGATTTTTACTTTTTGTGGTTGAAATTTTTTTTTTTTTAAGCCTGTCTTCCATCCTAGATAATTGACAGAATCTCCTCTTTGTATTTTTTCAGGAGCAATTTGTAATCCCCATCAAGGCAAAATTCTCTTTACTTCATCAAACACTTTTTCTAAGGTATCTGTGTCTGAATTAGCCAATAAGATACCATCCATGTAATGATAAACATTAGATTGAGGAAACTTCATGAATTATTTCCAACGGCTGTTGTACAAAATGTTGACACAAGGTGGAGCTGTTTAACATTACCTGTGGAAGAATTTTCCACTGATGTCTTTTAGCAGGTTGAGTATTATAAGTAGGTATTGTGAAGG